CATTATTCCTTGAAAATATCTCCTATTACCACTTCATTCTACTTAGGCTTGTTTTCTATCTTCAGAAATTCCTTTCTTTCTCATACTTAAATTCTTCTTTTGTTCCCCTTTTAACACATTTTTGCCACCATTACTGTGTCACTTGCAGTATGAATCTCTTTCCTGATGCTGTCTCATACAAGCTGAAATAGCAACCTTAAAACACAGCCAGAAAAATACACTTTGTGATTGTAAACTCAGGTTTTCCAGTATGAAGTGTCTGCAGCATGGCTGGATTTTTTTTAGATGGCAAACTTTAATATTAGGAAGTGACTTTATATGTTGTAGAGAGGTGAGCACACTGACAGAACTTAATAATGAACTCAAGGTTTCAGTCTTCACATTCAAGGTGGAATATACCTTTGCAGTTGCCAATTCCTAGTTTTTAATTTTTTTACAATCTTTTCATTCTCTTTAGCTTTCTCCAGTATCCTTTCAAGCAGCCATTCAAGACAGGTGATTTTGAAGGAAAAGAAAAGACATTAAAGCTGATCTAGTTAGAGATGTGGTTTGATACAGTGTCCTTTTGAAAATCATAAATTAAGCTAAAGAATAGAGGGACAACTGGAGGGAAACATGATGGATAAAGAACTGGATTAAGGAGAGAAGGCAAAAGGCAGTGTTAGTGTCAAAAGAAGGTGTCAGGATGAAGGTAACTTGCTAATAATGTTTCTCAGCAGATCATTTTTACAGTAATTCTGTTTAACAGTTTTACTGATGGCATTGGCCTTTGTATAAGGAGTGAGTGAGGAAATTTGTTGAAAGCACGAAGAATATAGCATTATTAATATAAAGAATGGAAATGTCACACAAAAAGAACCAGATGAGCTTGCTGAGTAGAATGGTAGATGTGTGCTAAAATTCAGTGCCCTAAAATGTAATAACAATAAAAATAATTAGTACAACAAATTTAGGCTGGAAGTTAGAATACAGGATCTTGCCTCAATCAGGATTAAAACCAGCCTTTCAATAAAGTGCTTTTTTTGGTGCTTAGATTGTTTATGAAACATGTTTCATGATACAGTGCCTGCAAAAAAAGGCAATTTGATGCAGTGATGTATGGGTCCTTTCTGAAGTTTTGTTTCTACCCTCACATAAATGGGCTATGTCTCAATATTAACACGACTTTGTAGAAAAAAGGATGGATACACTTATTTAATGAAGGAATTAGTTGGTGTTTAAATGATGTGTTAGAGTCATCCAGCTTGCTGAACAAACATTGTTGGCCAAATCCTCAGCTGATAATAAATCATCACGGAACTTAACAAGCTGTTGCATTATCATATCAGTCTGGCTATAAACTTTAAACTTGGTATAGCAACTTTTGTGTGCCAAGTAAGTAGATCGGCATCCTTGCAGAATGTGAGCTGGAACGGATGAGGGGAAAAGGGATTTACACTGTATGCCAAAGTGGCTTGGGTAGTATTTCTTTCAGAGTAGCACTTGTGACACCATGTGTAACAAAGTGCAAAGTGCCCCCCTGCCAGTATAGAAACAGATACAGAATGTTTTATATTCTGTTCTGCATGCTGAACTTGGCCTTTTACTCTCTTCGTCATGAGAAGAATAATAAAATCAGTGGTACTGTTTATGTATGCTTACGTGGCATTTTCCTGCTATTTTAAACAAAAATAGATCATTGACCACAAGGGATAGGTTGTATGCACTCTTTTTCATACTTTGCAGAGAGCAGATGAGGGGCTGCTGTGAAAACATGCTTATAACCTCACTTTTATATGATTAAATTCTGAGCCATATCTTGTTTAGTGCTTAGCTTTAGCACAGTACTTTTTTTCCTAGCATCTTCTTACTCAACACAAAGATGAGGCATTCCCTACACTTTTTTCTTATGAGTGTTTGTACCTCTAAATACAAAAGATATCAACTGTGAGTTTTAAGTAGCATGTACTTCTACTTATGCATTCCCAGTTAAAGAAAATCTGCTTTGTAGTTACAGAGTATGTGGTCAACTTGCAAGACTGAACTTCCTTGTTTCCATGGTTTTGAAGCTAGACACATTCAGACATTGCGTTTGGACCACAGCAAAGTAAAACATTAATATCACAGGGACATGCTTTGAAGATTGTACTAGGGCAATTTAGATGTCTCCTGAAAATTTTTTTGCTTAATTTGATAGTACAGAATTCTGTTTTAAGTATTGGGGTAAGAAAAACAGACTCTTTGGATGCAGGTGCTTTTAGGGTAAAAGAAGTCAGAATGATTCCAGCACATACATCCAAAGGAGCAGCAAAGAAATAGTGGGATGGAGACAAATGTAAGTTTACCAGAATAGTTTTTGGGCTATGATTTTTTACACCTGGAGCAAGATTCCATGGTAAACTAGAATAGGAGGCAACAGAGACAGGAACACTGAAACACACTAGGACAGAGAAAGTAAGGAGGCAATAAAACACTAGTACACCAGTGAAAGAGAATTTACAAGTTCTATTAAGGAAGGAATCTAAATGAAAGCAGCAGCATTCAAGAAAGTTATGTATGCAAGTGAACTTGAACTCTGGCCAGGTTGCTCTGTAAATCTACTTCAATTTTATTCACCTCATACACTCCAATTCCAGCACTGATGCAAAGTCACTGAGTTCAGTTTTTTACTATTTATAAAACTAAACTAACCACAGAGAATCACATCTCATTACTGACAAGGGATTTCTTGCAGCTTCCTCTGAAGCACTCGCTCCTATCTATTGTCACAGGATACTACTACAGATGCAGGACTTACACAGTCCAACATTGCAAATGTTAATCCAAGAAAAAGAGACTTGTTGCATGAACCTCTCATGGACGATCTTGCCCTTCCTTATCCCCTTTCCTTCAGAGTATATACACAACCACCTGAAGTGTCCTGTCTGCTTAGTTAAACTAGAGAAGTCTTCAAAATGTTACTGAAAAGATTGAAATTTTGAGGCTTTTCCACTGCTGCTACTATGAGGATTGTCGCAGAAAGATTGTTAGTACAGACCATGCACCAGCAGCTTTAGTAGCGTATTATCCAACTCTACTTGGGGGCAGATCTAGATATGACAAGCATGAAGTGACCTCAGCCTTGATTCTGAGCTGCCCCTTCTGCTATTGTAAAAACTAACCAAACCACACAAAATAAAATGCTAAGGAAATGTTAAGGAAAATGCTAATGCAGATAAAGCCTGATTACACACAACAGGTTTTGCAATGCCTTTTTTCATTTAGAGTAGCTTGCTCTAGCCTTCAGAAATGGGAACATAGTTCCTTCTGAGCTTTATACAACAATAAAATTCTCTGGGTAGAATACACACATTGGATCAGCTTGACGCATTTAGCCTGTGGTCTCTGCAGAAAAAAACCTTGTCACTACATTTTGCTCAGAACAGCCACCCTAATATTGAAGGAAACAACTTTAAGGGCAGTGGTAGCTAAAAACTTTCCATCAAATGTGGACTGCTCTTTATTTGAGGGCGAGGAGGAGAAGATTCAAGCATGAAATTAGATTTTAACTGAACATCTTTTTCTGTGTTCTTTGAAGGGAATATCACTGATTCACTAAGACACTGAGAAGTTAAAATCCAATTACATTTTGGATGAAAAAAACCCCCAAACTTTTTGGCATTAGATTTTTAAAATATTTCCAGCAAAGTCCATTTTAAAAAAGATTTTTTGCCGGTAGGATTCTCCTTTATCTCCCCTATTTTCTTCAGCATATTGTGACATGTCTGTACTCCTTTAAGTTTTTGAGCAGCTGCGTTCAAAAACGTAGACTGTCTCTGATGCTACTATAATCTGTCTCTATAACCCTGAGCAGGTTCCTCAGGATTCTTCTGAGATAGTTCTTTACCTACAGATTAAGGACAGGTTTTTTACCTCCAGCATGCCTGTTGTGAGGCTATCAAGGGAAAGTTTAATAATGTTTGTGAAGTATTTCAATTTTTTCCAATGGGTAGCACTGAGGTAACCATTTTGGATCCCTCATTTGATCAGCCAAACACATTATAGACAGGTGTTCCCTCACTGCCAACAATGACTGCATCCGTTTTGCTTTAAAACATCACCAAGGAGCCATTTTTATTTTCTGGCCAAGTGGAATGGCATAACTCATGTCTATGCAGTTTAGTTCTACCTCCCCATAATAGGAATGGACACATGCACTTTACATATTATTTGGAGATTTCCCTAGTTTAAGTTGGACCTCACAGACCTATATGCCTTCTCCCTCTATACATAGACAATTTAAGTTTCTGGAACTGCTGCTCAAATCCCTAGTTCCACTACCAAGTCTGCAGACTGCTGTGTGGTGTCTGGAAGAGCACAAGCTCTAGAAATGCAAATAAACAGTATGTGGAAGGCATTAACTGCTGTAGCTAGACTCTATTAAAACTAAGTCAACTACACTAAAAGATGGGGGTTAGAAAGGCTTAGGAGTGCCACTGTCTTTGGCACAAAAGCCTTTCCCACTCTTGATAGTGACCATGTCCATTAGCCTCAGAATGAAATTCCAGAAATTGCTCCCTACTGGCAACGCATCAGTGATCTTCCACCACTCCTCAGAAAGACGCAAGAGATCCCTGCCCTATTTCAGAGTATCTGCAGCCTCTCTTCAGCAGAAACAACATGGCCAAAAGCTTCAATTTCACAAACACTTTCCCAGGCATATCTGTAATATGTCAAAGGGACCAGTTTCTCAGATGATGTGCATTTAGAGGTCTGAGTAAAAAGTCTGTCTGTGACAAATGGTACATTCCCAGCTAACGGTCACTAAATAATTGCCTACATGGAAGTCACAGGGGTAATGATTGGCAGCCTTGTAACCACTAAGAAAAGAAGAGCAGCAGTGGACATTGGGCAAGCATGTTTTAGTTGTACTTCATAAATTTTAGCAATTAAAGAAAGTCACAGCTTTTATGGAAAGAAAATATCTGTGCACATTTCCCTTTCCTCCATCCCAACAGCTGATTGGTCCCAGTTAGACTCACCTACTGTTCTGGTGACCTTGGTGATGGTGAGCAGCACAAAAACACACACAGTCTTCCCAGCAATATTCATGTTGGCTCTTGCTTTCATGGCTCAGGCAGTTCCATCACTCCATCCATCCCGCCACCAACCTAGCTGTGGCCATGGGGAGTATTTCTTGCCTGCCAGTGCATCCTCAGGATCCAACGTCGGTGTTTTCTCTACCCACTTCCCACTCCTCTCCTGTAGCTGTGTGTGCTCCTGATCGACTGGCTCCTCAAAGCTGGAGAGGTTCCTCCTTCTGACTTTTCAGAGCACTAGGCTTCCTGTGCTGAGAGCCTAGGCGAACGCTGAGGAAACAGATTGAACAACTCTGCCTTCCGTTCATTGGTTCTCCTCAGGAGGCTGATGAGTGAAGATAAACCTGCAGCAGAGCTCAGAGGGGGTAAAAGCAGAGGAGATTATTCAAGGCTGAGTTTAATATCAAAAAGGAAATCTTAGTCTTGGGAAGCTAGAGAGAAACATTCTTCGTAATTGTCACTCCTCCTCCTGCAACTTCTTTGTCAATTCTTTATCGCTGCTTCCAAGAAAATTCCTCCTCATGTCTCCCTCAAAAAAATAAGCAGTCTCAAGTCTTCTCTGTAAGTGACATTTTTAATGATTTCTCATTTCAGTAGATACTTAACTACTGGCAGTGTACTTCTCATCTTAAACAACAAGGCTTTCTGGATGCTGAGGGGAGAAACTGAGTTTTGAGGGGAAAAAAAAGCCTATTTTACATACTTTTCAACAGAAATAATACAGAAATTGAAGCTGGCCCACATCTTTCACTGAGACACTGTTTGGTTTTTTTCAGAATACTGTTGAGTGTGTTTTTTAAAAATAATACTGTACCTCTTTCCCCAGCCTCACTGATCTACTAATTTCAGATTCAAGGTTTCTTGTCCTTTCTTAAGACACAGCACTTACCCAGCACAGTTCTGTGGGCCAGCAGTAGAGAAAAGGCCTCAGCTGTTGAAAGCTACAAGTCAGAATAATTACCACTGAGGACAGAGACATAAGAGGTAAAGACAGAAAACAGATCAAAGTCGGCAGGAAATTGAACTGCTCAGGAGCTAGGACTGCACACCATGTTTGAACATCAGCAAGCTGTACTCATGACAGTAGTCTGATGTTCTGATAATTTTGTTTGATCAGACTGGTGTTCAAAAATGGTCTGCACTGATGTTCACAGGAGCAGAGGAGTGAAATTAAGGTCTTATGTAAATAAGTAAAAAAAATAATGTAAATAAGTGAAAAAAGACTGATAATGATCATATAAAAAAAATCAAGTAAGACAGAAATTCACCTGAATCATCTTGGTCCCACAATCATCTTATTGACTACAGTTTTGTGTGGGAGGGCATTCTGTATATTTTTCCCCACTTGATTTTTTAAATTCAATTTAGTATTTTGATACTCCTCCACACTATTCTAAGGTTTTCAATGTGCTATTCACAGTACCACTCTGGTTTATTTTCTGAGTATTTACCATTGATCTAGGAATTAGTAATGCTTGTGAATAGATATCATAGATATATTTTAGACAAGGGCATGGAGAGGAACAAGAGGTGCTTATGTGAGTAGAGATTAAGATCCAAGGCTGGAAAGAGAAATAGGCAACATGTAAGCAGTATGAGGCCTCAAATGTAAAAGAAATAGTGCTTAAAGGCACAAGTAAGAGGAAACTAAGGCCGTGTAAATGTGCAGATATGTGGCATATTGGATAGATGATTGCTGCATGACTGTGAAAAAATGAAAAGATGCAATGGCATAGAGGAGATTTTGGAAGAGAGCAAACTATCTTCTAAATAAGAAAAGTCCTTCTTTAAGTTGCCACAATGAAAGGTCTCTGCTGTTCCTACAGGAATTCATTCAGAACCAGAAGCTAAACGCCTTTTGCTAGGCAAATATTATTTAAGATGTCATTAAGACATTTTGGGAGCAACTTTCTGGTTGAAGCCTGGGTTTCTAGGAACAAGTGAGGGGCTCATATGAGAAGGTGTAGTGCGTTGTCTGTCCGCCAGGTGCCCACCAAGCCATTCTATCCCTCCCTGTCTTCAACTGGATGCGGGAGACAAATATGGCAAAAGGCTTGTGGGTCACAATAAGGACAGGGAGATCAATCAGAGATTACCGTCACGGGCAAAACAAGATGGTCTTTTGGGCAGTGGCATGGTTTACAGGGTATGTTTCTAGCCAACTGGTAGTTGCTTCTACCGCAGTGAATATGTAGTGCTTGCCTTGGTGTGTTCATGGCAGTGGTCCAATACAGTTAATTTACCAGACCTCACCATATCGAAAACCCAGCCACTGCCCTCTATTCCCGGGAGACTTGTGTGGCTTGCTTGATTGTCACACATGTTGCACATTCATGAGTGACCTGTGTGATGTCCTCCATGGTCAGATCCACCCCTTGATCATAAGCCCATCTGTGTGTTGCATCTCTCCCTAGATGTCCCAATGTTTCATAGGCCCATCAAGCTACAAATAGCTCACCCTTACACTCCCAGTCCAGGTCCATGTGAGCTATTTAAATGTTGACAGCCTTGTCTACTTCTTGATTGTTTTGATGTTCTTCAGTGGTGTGGCTTTTAGGCATGTGAGGATCTACATGACATACCTTTAGTGTGATGTTTTCTACCTGGACAGCAATGTCTTGCCACAATGCAGCAGACCAGATAGGTTTACCTCTGTGCTGCCAATTGGTCTTCCACTGCTGTAGCCAAACCCATGGGGCATTAGCCACCAGCCATGAATCAGTATAGGGATAGAGTACTGGCCACTTTTCTCGTTCAGCAATCTCCAAGGCTAGTTGGGATGGCTTTCACTTCTGCAGACTGACTTGACTCACCTTCTCCTTCAGTGGCTTCAACAACTTGTCATGTGGAACTCCACACAGCAGCTTTCCACTTCTGATGGTTTCCTACAACATGATAGGATCCATCAATAAATGGACCATAATGCCTTTCATCTTATGGTAACTCATTAGATGGTTGTGCCTCTTGGGCATGAGCCACCTCCTCAGGCAATGCTCAAAAATCTCTGCCTTCTGGCCAGTCCATGATCTCTTCCAGGATTCCTAGGCAGTTGCATTTCCCCCAGTCAAACCTGCTGCATGTTCAAAACTACCCATTTACTCCATGTAGCGCTGGTTGTGTGATATGTAGAGGGGATGTTCCTTTCCAGTGAAGTATGGGCAAACACAGTGCCAAGAGTAGATATGCTTCTGTAAGAACAACTTCTGAAGCAGCTTCAACCCCCTGATGTGCTGATAGTATCTCTTTTTCAGTTGGGGTGCAGTGGGCTTCTGATCCTCAACACCCCTGGCTCCAAAACACTAGTGATCAACCTTGGATTTCTCCTGATGTTTTCTGCCAGAGGCTCCAGGTGAGACCATGCTCCCCAGCTGTAGAGTACATTTTGCACAGCTGGTCCTGTCCAGACAGGCCCAAGAGCTACCACATGAGCCATCTCCTGTTTGATCTGCTCAAATGCTTGTCATTGCTCAAGGTCCCACTCAAAATAGTTCTTCTTTTGGGTCACTTGATAGAGAGGGCTCACCAGCTGACTATAACCTGGACTAGACATTCTCCAGAATCCCACGAGGCCTAGGAAAGCTCATGTTTCTTTCTTGTTAACTAGTGCAGACATAGTTGCTATCTTGTTGATCACATCCATAGGGACATGATACTATTTAGAAATCTGAGGAGGACTGAGTCTGGGAAGTACTGCAACAGTTCCTTCTTTTATCTTGTGAAAGTTCTGCTACAGGCAACAGAACTTGGGAAGTGAGATATGAGAAGTCTGTGGCAGGACATGACTGAAAATGTAAATTCGCCACAAGAAGTGATGAGTACTTTATTTCTTATTCGCTGGAGGCTGTCCTCTCAGTTACACATTGAGAGCCAGGATCCCATGTCAGCGGAATTGACCTTGAGAAAGGCCTGAGTGGGACAGAGGATGTCCTAGATAGAGAAATAATACAGGTAGAGGGAGGAAAGTTTTCTGGCTGCATCAGTCAGAAATTTCTGCATTTGACAGAAAGGAGGAGGAGGAGAGGGATAAACTGATTGCAACAGCTGAAGCTGAAACTGAAGCCTGAGGATGAAGGCATTACTAACAAGGTGCAATTAAAGACGCATTTTCAGTAAGTGCACACAGCAGCCGAGAAAACTCAAGCATTGTTGATTTAAGGTGCTATGCAGAACCATCACAGCCTTCCTGGAGACTGAACTTTCCCTGTCTTCTGTGTTCTGAGAGCACAGATCTGGGCTCTGCCTGTGGTTTTCAGTGTGGGTTATTTCAGACCCATTTTATGTTAATTATCATAATGTCATCAGATATTATTTGACAAAGTCTGTGATCTGCTCTGTTTGAAGTGGTTTTACTCAGCCTTAAAGTCCTTGCTGACAGCAGATTCCAAGCCAATAGCTCATTCAACAAGAAGTGCAGGAGCTGTAAAGCTGGATTTTAATTATCAAGGTGCAGACAGAAATTAATTTATTTCCAGGAACTTCTTTTCCAATGATAACATGAATATCAGAGTGCTGGAACCTCAGCTGTTATAAACTTTTAAGCTGACCTGGTTCTCTTGACTTCTCATGGAGCTACCATGACTTTCTCCATGTGAGAATTCTCCCTACTCTCTCTATCTCAGCCGAGGATCCTAAGTCTTGAGTCCATACAGATCGTTCAACAGGCTGCACATAAATGAGTAAATCCAATTATCTCTGAAGCTGGGAATGGTTCTGGAAAAGCATCATGATTCTTTGTGTACTGGCAGATCTGTTTTACTCACTAAGTGCTCACCCCAGCAATGAAATACATTGCAATGAAATACGATGGTTTTGTCTGGCAATTTGTCAAGGAAGTGAAATTAAGGCTGGATTACATTATGCAATGGCCTTGTCCAATGTATAGGGCATTAAAACAACTTTAATCCTTTCAGAGATAGCAGTGTGTGTCACACTTGTCAGTGAATTTCCTGCCTTTTGATGCCCTATCTTAGCACCTAGAACTTGTTACCTTTATAATGAAGGAAAAATAATTTTGTAAGTTGCATTTGCATA